GCAAGCCAGCAGCACAAACTCACCCTGCAGCGCTGCTCCCCAGGGAAAAAATGGGGGAGAAGCAGCTGCACCACCGCGTTTTGCCCTGGGGGGGCAAACGTTTGCTCGGGCGGAGCAAACGGCATCTCCGCCAGCGGCAGGAAGAGATTTGTCAGCTAACCGGGCCTGGACTGCACGGAATTGGAGCAAACAGCACAAGTGCGAGGGCACGTTGTGTGCTGGCCCGGTGGCAGGTAGCGAGGTTAATTCCTCTGCCCAGTTTTAGCCCGCTGTGCTTGAGGGGGGAACACCTCCACTGAGCCCGGGGCGGGGAAACACAGCTGGACGGTTTGTGGAAAAGAAAAGCCTGTTCCTTTAATCTATGTGAAAGCTTTTGGTACATCAAAGTCCTGGCATGGGTAGACATCTCTGATATATAATTGGTGTGGACACTTGTAAAGGTTTTGATAAAGACCTTTGTGAAAGAGCTATTCTGGAGAGACAAAGAAGGGTCATGGCTTAGGCACTAGCCAAGAAACAAAAACCCAAAAAGCAGGATGAGTACTGGGCTCACGGCTCCGTACCCCATCCAGTCGCACCCCCGGCCCTGGGGCTGCTTGCCACACACGGCAGACAAGGTGCCCCTGACAGCAAAGCCCACCCAGGGCTGACGAGGATTGCCAAGGGCACCACCAAAGCCAGGGGAACGGGCCAGAGAAGGGGAAAAGCATCCCCCCATGGACACAGCCTGGGCCGGGCTCCCCCGGGAGGAAGGGGGTGATGGTTGTGAGAACCAGGTAAGCCTGGATCAGCTGTCACCTCTGAAGGAAAAAACCCAGCTAGGGCTATGAGCAGCTCACCACAGTCCTCCACTGGAGGTTGCAAATACGTATTATTACCCCAAAAAATCCCAAACAAATGAAGAACAGAATTGGATAAAGATCAGGAGAAAAAGTCACAGGGAACCGTGTCCAAATGCTTGGAGAGGAACGAACAGGAGGTCCTCTCCTGGCATTGCTGCCTCTGACCAACTCCCAAAGGACACAGCAAAAATAGAGGAGGGGAGAATTTCCAAGATGGGAAAGTAAGAGGATTAGAAATAGAGTCTATCTAGAATTGAAATTATTTTAATTTCTAGATGAAGTGAGTAAAAAGCAACACAATGGCAGTATACAAAATAATGAACAGCACAGAGAAGGTGGATATAAGTACTCCTATTTACACTTTTCACATAAAAAGAGAACAAAGCGACAGTCAATAAACCCGAATGGCAGCACACATACAAGGAGAAGCGAAGTAGTGTTGTTCTAATGCACAGTGCATAACCACCCGGGGAGCTCACTGTTCCAAAATATCGCTAAAACCACAGATGCAGAGAGGCTTGCAAGAAAAGGACAGGAATGTACCTGAAAGAAAAGAACATGTGCAGTTATGTTCACTATATGTGACTTACATTAGCAGTGAGCAGTAATATGGGTTTTTAAGAGAGAAATTCTCGTACAAACAAGAATAGATGGGAGGGGGCAAAGATCCCCGTGGGCAGATTATTCCAAAAACTGCCTTCTAAGGAATGTCGTGTTTCTCCTTCCTCTGAGGCATTTATGTCAGCTATTGGCAGCAGTCAGCGACTGGAGAAGAAGAATTACATCTCCTCATCCCCTCTGGCTCCCTCCTGCAGCAAGTGCCTTCCCCCCGCTCGGCCCCCATGCATCCCCCCGAGACGAGGGGCTTCCCCCTCCCACCCTCCCCACGGGGCCTCCCCACGGGGGGCACCCAGCAGGACCCCAGCCCAGCTTGCTGCTGCCACCCGCCTCGCTCCCTGCGGCGACCGCCTTGCAGACCGTCGTGATTTTGGACTCCCTGGCTTCAGGGGCTTCCACACAGCATCGTGTGAAAGCCCAAACCCTGCTCCCCAGGTTGGGGTGGGTGGGGGCGGCCTGGGAAAAGGCAGCTGCCCAGTCCCAGGTCACTCATTCCTTGTAGCCAAGGAACATTTCGCATCCTCAGCCATACCCGACTGAGGGAGGTAAAACTAATCTTGTCCTCGTTTTCCATTGGCGTGCAGTGATATCTCCCCTATTCGCTGTCGAAATGCACTGAAATTAATCTCGGTAGCAATCCCGCACGGCGGTGGGAGCGCATACGCAAGCGATACCCATCAGCACACCTTCGGGAGCGATGCTGCCTGGACGGATATCAGTGAGGGTCAGCAATGGGGAGGTGGGGCGGCAAATTACTTGAGAGAGCATCTCTGCATTTAAACAGAGCCGAAAGTTGCGAAACTGCGTCTGTGGAAACCTTCCTTCTCGCGGCCTCTCTGATCTGAGGTAGGTCAGACTTGAGGCAAGAAGCCCAGGGCTTGACTGTGCCCACAAAGTTAAAATAAAAAGAACAGTTACCTTGCCTTAACCTCCTCTCTGTGAGGTTCCTGTCCTCCTCGCGGGCGCAGCTGCCACGTCGCCCCAGCACACGTCGGTCGGAGGAAGCGGGTGCTGCTTTCCCCTCAGCAACCTCAGCTTCCAACCTGCTGCCTCCCGCCCGTGGCCCCCAGGCCGTCCGCCACCCCCAGCCCGTCGGGGGGACACGCCCCACCGGCTGGCTCCTGCGCCTGGAGCTGACAGGCAGCTTTCCCCGCACGGAGCTGAATGCACGAGGTGGATATAAAGAGCACTTCTACTTCTTGTTGGATTTTTTTTTAAGAGTTTATTTGTCTAGCATGCTTGACCAAAAATTACAACAACAATCAAGTTATGCCAAAATGATTAAATAACCTTTAAGCTTTCATACCTCAAGTACTTTAAATGATATTTTGAAGTAACAGCTGCTTTCGTATCTTTTCTACATAAAAATACACAGTATTTTGAAGATACCTTAGGAAAAAAGTTAGTTTTAAGAGAATAGTTTATGGTCGACATAGAAATTTTGTTGAGGCTAATAAAAGGACCTCTTCCCTCGACTTTAACATTTTAGTCTCATAAGTGCCGTGAGCGAATGTAAACATTTCAGACTTCTTTAACATCCAGCCAATTTCCTGCCACGTTTGTTTCCAAACGCTTGAATTGCGACTAGCCAAGACACTTTTATTCTACCCACACGCTATTGCTCATCTCCCCAACGACGGCAGGAGTTCATACTCAGCTACGAATTTCAGCCCTTGCTGATTTAGGAGCTGATCCTGCAATTCCCACCCCAATGGCTTTGACAGAAGTGGCCCCACCTGAATTCATGGCAGACGGCTTCTGCGCTTGTGAACTATTCACCCAAAACCTGGCTGCAGGTGCCACCCATCGTCCTGGGTTTCCTTTCAGGGACAAGCAGCAAATTAGTTTCTACCCCAAGCAACCCAGCAGCTTCCAGGAAATGACAGACCCGTGACTACTTGTGTTTTCTGGTAGTCTGCTGGTTTCTGGTGTGTCCACGGCGCAAGTTCGTTACCGGGCTCGAAGGCCTCTGCTCCCAGCAGAGCTGCGCCCGCAGGAAGCCAGCAAAACGCAGCGTCTCCGCCTGCCTCGCTCGGGGCGGAGGCGGACACAGCCCGGTCTGGCAACACAGGTATTTGAAGTGGTGTACGCGTACGGTATAGGTGCAGCTGCTACGTGAAGCTCACATTTACATCCATGTATCAGGCAAAAAGTAACGTAACACAACCATCCAACGTCTGTGTTCGCAGAAGCGGGCGATGCACAGCCCTGCAAACAACTCTGTGTCGGTAGCGCGATGATCTGCCCAACGGGTGTGAACAGGATTAACGTCTAGATGCCATCAGCCCCAAATTCAGGATGTCCATGTTCAGAATACAGCAGTTAAATTATCTCCATCGAGGCAAAAAGGCTCCTCTCTGAGCATGGACAAGTTTGCTAGTTCAAGGCAGAAATTCACTTCTTGTAAGGCATGTTTGAAGCACTTTTTTTTTTGGCGGGTTTGTAGTCAGTTCTCAAGCTTCTGCCTAGGACAGGACTGAAATCCCAGCTGCTGCAACACCTCTGTCAACCTGCAGGAAAGCTGCACGGGCAGTGCTAGCGTTGGCCAACCCAACCAGCTCCTGACACGTCCCCTGCTTTGCCTGGCATCACGCGCAACACGACAGATGGATTTCAACTCAGGCCTCTGTCAGCATTGTCCACGAGCAGGCAAAGAGCGACAGGAGGTTCTGCGAGTCGACCCTACCCCGCACCCACTGGCCTGCACTCCTCACTCATCACACTTACACCATCGCTACTACACAGCTACCCAACAGCGAACACCCACACTCCACCTGGAGGTGACCCCTTCCCCTCAGCACCCACAGCGTTCCCCACGGACAAAAGGATCACCATGGCGTCTCAGCACTTCTGCCCGGGGCTGAGGTCACACCAGCGACCTCAGCATTGGCTGCATGTCCCATTAGCAGGTTTCGCACAAAAAGCCCCAGTGGATTTTATTTAAAATACCGCTACTGAACACTGGGTGGGTTTTTTTTTTTTTGCTTTTTACATACAAGCACGTATCGCCTTACCATATGAAAACTGTTAAATTTTTTTCTTTTTTCTTTTGTGTTTTTTAAGGGAAATGTCATCTTTTTTTTTCACAGGCGAGTCCAGGTTACAAATTCCTGAGTTTATACTGCACTTAACACAGTCTCCCTTCTTGAATGCTGAGCTGTTTACAGCATGCCGGCAATATGCACCATTTCCCTTACCATCTGTAATGCCAGATGTAGTAAAACTTCATTTCCGTAGAGTGAATTAGGGCCTCTATCACATTGGTTTTGAATAGATGCAAAGACTTAGACCTGGAGGACTTGAAGTAATAGCTCTCCTCCTGTGACGGGTCATTCATGCACCATCTTTTATATTCGCCACGTTAATTAAGGGAAAACATCTTTACCATCATTTTTCCTTTACCAGGAGCTCACTGGGACATATCTGAAATGAGGAAATCCTAGTCTAAACACTTTTAAGTTTAAACCGCAAACTTTCTTAAAGAAACACTCCTTTGAAAGACATTGATCTTTTAATTAGTCCAATATAATGTATGGTATATACAAAAGTCCCTACTTGAGAGAGAGATATATATGCATATGTATATATATATGTGGAATGCATTCACTTTTCTGTGTTCACAAGTATTTTAATGGTGAAATGTTAAAGTCTTTAATCTTGTTTCTGGCATCAAAATGTCTTTGTTCTTCACCCACTTTTGTCACTCAAAATTTATCTGTGAAGAGCTAGCAGGGAAAAAAGAAGGTTTTTGCTTTTTTGTTGAACGGTTCCCTACTGGGATTCTCAGCCAGCAATATAAAGTTGCTAATGTGTTGGGCACAACTTTAAATCCTCATTACAATCATGTGTTCCTTGGAGTAGGTAAGTCAATAACTATGGGTGGATTAAGTGGCTGGTAATTCACAGTGCACACAGACGCATTGACATACGTAGTAGTTCCATCAGCCATGACGCCATAACCTACAAAGAAAGAAAAACTCTGGTTACTCTCCTCTTCATTATTATCTTCTCTTTCTTTAATGATTCACCTCTAACACACAATGGTAAGTGACACATTTATTGCTCAGAAGGAATTCAAAATTTCTCTTCATGTAAAACATAAAGGTCTCCTGAGTTAATACCATCTTTGTCCTACAGCAGAACTTCTTCCCATCTTTTAAATTGTGTTAAGAAAAGCAAAATGGACCCTCACTAGCTAGTGGCTATAATCTCTGGCAGCCAGCGAGCCAAACCTCCTTACAAAAACAGGTTTTTTCTCTGCAAAGCTTTTTTCTTAAAACCTTCTCAGTTTTGGAAAGGTTGAGAAGATAGAGCTTAGGCAACTACAGCATTGGAAAAAAACATACTCGATCATGTAGGTTTGCAGCAATCAATGCAGCAAACTTTGGGCAATTTTCATCTTTCCACCTTTTTTTCTGTCCTGTGTCGTACACCTTTTAAGCAACCAAAGAAGAAAAACCTTGCCTGACTAAGCGGCGTATGTGTGCACCTGCACCCATGCAGGATTTGTCTAGTAAGAACCCTTTCGTCCCACGAGTTTGAACTTGTTGACCAATTTCAACCAAATTTGATAGAAAGACACTAAAACGCCTGCCCAGGCAGAGAAAAAATGGCTTTATTTATGTGTTCTCTGACAGACAAGGTGAATTCACACCCAAAGACACCGGAACATTTCCACAGGAGAAAACACCCTTCTGGGTGTCCCACCAGTGGCGAAAAACCTTCAACTGCATCTCCCGTCTGACTAAACACCCAGGCTAAACAATTCCAGAGCGAAATCTGCAGAAAAGCAAACTTCCAGCTCTAAGCCTGCAGAAATACTTCAGAAAGTGAAGCAGCCGCCCTTTAACGACCCTGGTGTCACGAAAACGCAGACACACTCCCCATTCTCAAAAACCTTTTCATGAATGGCTAAGCTTGATTACACTAGGACTAAAAGCTTAATGTTGGAAACTTGCATTGAAATATTAATATCAATGTGAAGAAACGCATTCACAATCAGAAATGCATGATTTCGGGGAAATCACCTCGTAGAAAGCATTTGTACCAAGATTCAATCTCAGCACTAATGAAGTTAATGGTGAAACGTATTCTTTGCTACATGCACCAAGTTCTGGCTATTCAAATCCTAGGTACCGAGGATTCCTACAGTTTTTCTAAGTGCAATTTCGTGTCTTCTAGAAGCATTGTTAGCTGCAGAATTTACAAACAAAGATACAGTAGCCAAATTCCTTTCTTTTTTGTTCCTTAATAATGCAGGGCCTCCTGGACTCCCCATGGAAAAAATACACTGTAATTAGAGACTAGGGAGGAAAGAAAACTCTGTCAGGTTCCTGTCAAAGACATTCCTTTAAATCATTTGCTGTTTGCCACAGAACAATTGTTCTGTACAAAACACAAACTGCACAGAGGACAGTCAGCATTGCTGCTGGGACTGTCTGTCTCCTCAGCTACATGTTTAGAGGGAACAGAATCAGCTTGCTAACACATTCCTTTTGCTGGAAGATTTCTAATGCTACAGTTTTCACTCCAATCCTACTGCCAACAGCCTCCTCGGCCGTGACCTCAGCCAAGTACTGGCTGTACTGGGCAAACCAGGATTTTAGCCGGAATCCTTGCCATGCTGCTTGCCACTCCCATGGGTCGATCAGCAGCAAGCCCATGTGTGGAGGTGTTTTTTGGCAGAGACAGCAGCGTAGAGGGGGAATAGGGAAGAAACATCTCTTCTAAGCATCTCTTCCTCCCGGATGTTCAGTAAATGACTGCTGCAGATGTAGCTATGCTCAGTCAGGGGAGGAACTCATCTGTTCAAATCACGCATTCTCTCTACAAAGAGTAGCTTCGTTTGCACAGGCTGTCTGCAATGGGAATTCTCCTCTGCAGAGATTCAGCATCCCACTGCAAAACAGGCTATGCAGTTCCCCGTTTGTTTTCTCTAAATTATGATAGCTAACAAGAAGAGTACCTTGTTTCTGTGTTCTGTTATCTACTGTGGAACTGCATTAATTCACAACATATACCAATCTGTGAAGGTGCCATTCTTTTCCCTTGGGAGCCAAAGTTAGGCTTGGTCTTCGCAGATGTGATTTTGTTTACCTGCCTGAAGCTTCACGGCTTGCTAAGTGTTTGCTTATACCCCCCGCAACCCACTTGGTTTACCATTTCTGAAAAGACAACGAGTTTGAACTGTGTTCATCAGCTCTCTTGCAGGGCATCTCAAAGACTGCTACGACAGCAAAGGGTTAGGAAAAAATACTGCCTATGCATTGTTTGTTTACTCTCTGATGTAACAACACCTCAGACATCAACTAGGCTTTTAGCAGGTCAATGCAGATGAGACACATGAGGAGAATGGACTTAATCCCAGAGCTGTAAATTAACCATCTGAGTGTCTTCTCCATCAGTTTTCCCCTTGACAGTGTCACTCCTAACCTAGCACGGTGAAAGCGCCCAGCAGCACGTCAGAGTGGGGTTTCTGGGGAAGGGTAATAGCTCTTCACAAAAACAGAAGTATCTGCATGCCAGCTACTCCAGTTTTTCAGTTTGTTCATTTCTACACTGGTGAGAACCACAGGGATCCTTCCAAGGCTAGAGCAGTCCCAGAAGCAGAAAACTGGCAGTTGTGGAGCATCTTTTCCTGCCAGTAAGATAACATTGCCAAGAACTGAGCAGCTGACAAGACATGCCTGCATGCCAATGGTACACTTCTGCACGGCCCAGTGGTTTCTTTCAGTAGGGGTACCACTTGAAGTCTTGCTGCCATGATATGCAAACAGGACAGGTTTCTCTATAACAGACAGCATCTACCTCTCCCTTTGCCTGGAGATGAACACCTATTGTCACTGACTTCAGTGGAGTATATTTGTCACCATTTACTGATTTATGTGAAGGGAACTAATTTTTTTCCAGTTAAAAATCAAACAGTCAAGAGAACTGCTTTTTTTCATCTGGGTACAAAATGCTTCCCCTGCCAAAGCAAATAAATACGTGAACAAGTATCTTGAATTTCTACACAAGTCAATGGTGACACCCTTCAATTTCATATATGCATTGATAGGGAGAGACAAACTTTATTGTAGAACCTTGAAGATCAAGCCTCAGAAGCAACCCCCAAAGCATTCCTATCCATTTTACAAACACAGAAGCTGAGACACAGACAGCTTACATGAATTATCTTAAGTCACAGAGATTCAGCAGAGGAAAACACAGTCCATCAGTCCTAACATTTAGTCACTTTCTTTAACTACTGGACTCACGTTCTCGTTTTAAAAATCACAGTAATCATCTCTGTGAATGAGGCATCACCTTGTTTTATAGACGTAGAAACTCAAAGAGAAGCTGAAGTACAAATATTGAAATGTGGTTATCAACTAATTCCATCTCTATATATGCAGCTCCGTAAGTATTTGAATTCCAGAAGTGCTTCAGTTCAGACATTCAAGTTTGACAATGCTAGTTAAACCAGACAACTTTCATGTTTGTGGTTTTTAAATATATATATATAAAGAAATGTGTTCTGACCTTCATGGATATGCCCAAAAACGTGAAGCCTTGGCTGTATTCGTCTCTGGACTGTGTTCAGCAGCTCAACGCATCCTACTCGTTGCATTTTCTTAGGAACCCAGTCTAGAAAACCTTTGGAAAGGAAAGGAAAGATTTAAAAGAAGACAGGTTACCTGCAAAGCTGTGCTGCTATAGAGTATTTCTGAGATTTCATGTCTCGTGGCTTTCACAAGCAGCCATAGAAGAATTGACATGGAAAAAACAGTGTTTGCCTTGGTAAGTAGAAGAGGAAGGAAGCTGGAGAAAAACCATAAAAGCTCATTGGAGGAAAGAGGACTATGATAACTTGTCAGGTTTTTTTCAAGGAAAAAAAAAAATCACTGCAATTAAAGCATTTTTGCCCTGCTGTTAATGGGAAAACTCTATGCGTTAGCCATTCTTCCTCCTTTAAGAGAGTGAAGTGTAAAGAGCAGTATGTCCAAAGCGAGTCTCTAAAGAATCTAAATCAGCATCTAGCTATTTAAATCTAGTCCTGGCATCTAGTTTTCAAAATTGAACACTTTAACTGATGTAATAATAAAACTATATTGTTACTGCATTGAATCTTACAGTAGTGGAACTCAGGTGAGGAACCCACAGCATGCCTAAAAATAACATCCTCAGGTAAAACTGGTTTAAGCACTTCATGACCCAGCAAGCCCCACTAGCCTAAATCTGTGGACCTCAGACGGGAAAAGAAACTCAGCCCTTCTGCAGTAGATGTTTTTAAGTGCTGCATTTACTTGCACAAAGTTCATATAAAAATGCATTTTTTTATGAATACAGACAAAAATGTACACTAACTTGCTTGTATGTCTAAAAACATACTGCTGGGGGATGCTTACTGCCAACTGAAGTCTCGTTTCCTTCAAAGCAGTAGTGTAAGAAGGATGTTCTTGTATTAGAGGGTTTGCAATAACCAATCTTGTTTTCCTTCTATTGTTCTGCCATTTTCATCAGGCTCAAATTTAGAAACCTAAAAGATATAATCGTTCTGTTTTTCTTTAGTTGTTCTGATACTTTTCCCCATGTGCCTGTCATAGCTTTGTATCTTTGACTTAGATTGCTGCAATAAGCGTGAATATATTGCGCCTTTGAGAAAACGGTATTCAGCCCGAGAGGTATAGAATCTACTTTTCATACTTTTACTTTTGAGGTCCGCTCAAGCATGGCTAAATAGCAGCTAACCAACTGGCTTAAAAGACCAGAAGTGCTAGTATTCAAGTTCTTAGAAAAGCTCTCAGATTCGCCAGAGCTTCAGAGTAGGTTCACACATTAACAAATACACCTTTCGATGCCAGTGCTTGAAAACTGGGCTCAGTATACTGTAGGGTTTTCTGAAAATGTTAAAAATTTGCCTTTGAATCACAGTTACTCAGAGACCTAAGTCCAATTTTCAGAAACGAGTTGGGAATGCGGCACCCTAAGCGTCAAAAAGACGAAGTTCTGATAACGGCCATAGACCATTAATTCATTCAGACGCTTCTGCAGACGCTGCGTGGCTCCCGTCGGGGGGAGGGACAAAGAGAAAGCCCCACCAAATTACTGACAGAGCACAGCCACGCTCAGTTCTGGTAACTGATTTTACCAGTCACTCAGGCCGAAATTCACTGTAGGAACTAATAAGTATTTAAGATGTCAAAGTGCGGCCAGTAACTCCTCTGGAATCCAGCCATGCTTTTTTCAGAGCAAACATCTTACAACCATAGGTTTTGTTTCTTCACTGACTCGAAACAGTTAATTGTCAAAATGTCTGTGGTGAACATAAAGCCAAAAGTATTTCCACTTCAAAAACTTCACCAACAAAAATCCATAAAATTAACTTCTCCATTAAATTAAGCATTATTTATGTTGAACATGTTTTTGTTTACATGCATTATCACCCTTCTGAAGCTTTCCCATATGTCTGCAGCTTATTATGTACACCTGACTACACAAACTAAGAATAATTGATTACACCTAGCTAACAATTAGAGTTCATCTTAGGGTTTTTTTAATGTTTGGTTACTTGAAACAGGTTTCTGCAGCTGTCAGGAAAGTATAAATCTTTGTCACAGACAATCGAGCAGACAGCTACAAATGAAGACTTAAAGGTGAAATTAAATTAAAAACAAACAAAGAAAAGAATATGAACTTTCTGAAGAGAAAGAAAAGGTTCATAAATGTAGATCTTTAGGAATCAGGGGAAAGATTTTAAAAGTTATACTATACATAAAATTAACAAAATATGCTGATATAGAAATGAGCATTAGCACTGATACCATAATCATGAATACTATATTTTATAAGCCATGAAATATATGGCATATCTTTATTAATAATAAACAGGTTACTAACAAAATGGTCAATAATAGCTGTTTTAACCTTTGTTTTCTCATCCTGTGTGAACCTCCTGTGTATCCCTGCCCTGGTTTCATCCCAAAGCACTACTCTAAAACACAAAAAAAATCTTACTCAGATTTTTGATATGTAGCTAACTGACTTAGAAACACAAAGTCCATTAACTCTTAATAGTGCTTCTGCATCTAAATCATGCAGGCAATTTTAAATCTATCTAATAATGTAGTATTAATTAGTTTAGGAGGATACGCGCTCTTTTGAAGTGAGGGATTGAGAAAGCAGCAGAGAAAATGGATGATGGACAGAATTTAGGCAGCCATGCTGGAGAAAAAAGAGGAATTTGCATGAGCACTGATTGCTATTTATGATCATTACAGCTTTAGTGATGCTGTCCAAGATCAGAACAACAGTAATCAGCTTTCTGGTTAAAATAATTGCCTGGGAGGGTCAAGGAGGATCCTGTCTCCCCAAACGTCTGCGGACAGAGCTACACAATAAAGCGGTTCTGTAAGTTAGGCAGAGTGCTCATTTCTTTTGAAGAGTCACAGATTTGTTGCCATGGGTGTCAGGGAGACCAACAGCTGATGCCCTCAGGCAGAGGGTTCTGTGCCTGAGCCATCTATTAATCCATCAGTAAGAAAAAGACAAAGAAACGGGAACTTTTAAAAAAGAAAATCCTTGGAGGACAGAAGCAGCTTAAGAAATCAAAAAAAGCAAGCAAATACTCAGACATGGAGGCGGGGGGAGTTCACGTTACCTCACTGCAGTCAGTGGAGATGGGCAGCTCTTCCTCAGAATCACTACAATTATTAAATAACCTTTCAATTATTAAATTTACTATTACATTTATTATGAAAGCATGTCTGTTGAGTGCCAGCTCTGCAGTGCTCTCTAGAGGTTCTCCTCCCTCTGCTGATCCCAGGGGCTGCCTGGAGAGGCCTGGTGGCTGAATCAGCAAGGTGGCTGAAGCCGCGTGGTGTGAACCCCTCTCTCCACCTTCTAACACTGGATTTCAAGTACTAGATACTGGGACCCCTTTGGACCAGCTGAAGGTTGGATTTCTTTATAGCTGATCAGCTGGTTTTAAAAATGGCTTTAAAAGTGCTAAAGAAGCTTCTGAAAAAGTTTTAAATATGATTTACAAATAAAACTATATCAAAGGCCTAGTGTCATGCCTTGGATCCTAACGGCAATTATCCCCAGTACTAACCACTTGGAGCTGATATCTCAGGGTCTAAACATTTAATTTCTGCCATCCACTTTCACGATACAGGTCCGTATTAAACCCGGTCTATGTCATGGCATGAGACTCCACTTTGGTGAAGTATCAAAACGCACGTCCTTACTATGAGAAACCGTGCTCACAAAGAAGCCCTTTCCCCCAGGATTAGTGAGCAGTGGAATGCAAAGATGTCTTTCTAAAGAAAACAACAAAAAACAAACCCTTTAGATACTTTCTCCTCCAAGCTCTGAAAGAGGAGAAGAAAGGGTGGAAGACAAGAGGGTTTTAGCTTCAGGAAATTGGGGAATCTTAAGGTTTAAAGAAACCAACCGCCTTCATTTCACACAAAGCACTCCTCCGCAGTAAGAGTCAGCAGAACACTTAGGTACGTGCTTCACTTTTGTGTCCATTTATTAAATTAGTGAGTGTTAAACACATAGTTGCATTAAATATAGCTTCCTATATGTTAAATACGTTGAAAAACATGTTAAAAACCTTAAGCCTTTACTGAATGTGGACAAGTTTCTGTGATTATATTATTTCCGTAACACAGATAATTTCATTATTATCTAGGAATACAAGAAATATCTCATGGCTTTTATATCACCTATACTAATACTTATAAAACACAAATGCAAACTATTTGGTTGGTCTGTTAGTGTGCCAGGTTGTATTAAAGATAGGCAATTCATCCACGCTGTCCAACAAACAGGCAAACAATGGCAGCATTTGGGTTTGCGAGGCAGAAGGTGCACCAAGTCAGCATGACGAGCAAAAATACAGACTCACTTGTTGGTGAGGGAATGCTACTGCAAGTGAGGAAGAAAGACAGTGCTAAAAAAGTAAGATCCCAGTCCAGCATTTTTCTTCAAGCAGGCTCCCTGCTTTAAATCTGCTAATTTCACCAGTGGCAGACTGTACAGATGCATAGGAAAACTAGACATTGCTGATTTAAGAAGTTCATTAAGGCTTTCTATGTTAAGGCTTTATTTTTTAAGCCATTATTTAATTCTCCACGATTGAGCATAGGTAATCATGAAACATAAAACCGATCTGAAGTCCTGGTACCGCTGAAATCAGTACAGATGTTCTAAGTCAGGATTGCACTCTTTGTCTAAGGAGAGCCATCAGTTATTGTATAACCATCTGAAACACACAGCTAAGAGCACTAGTATTTTCTTACCGAGAGGTGGTCCATGTGTTATAAGAATATCTATTCCATCTGGAATAAGGTTCCATTTCTCTAATAGTGCTTGGCCTCGTGGAAGATTAAAGCCCCAGCCATAAAACCAAGGTTGCCTGCCAAGAGAGGAAGAGAATGTCTTCAGTGCTGCTTCCATGTACTGGTTATCTAATTAAAATACGGAGATTGACTAGACACTAGCATCAAATTTGGAGACACAAACAGCATTCATTTTCTTCTTTCTGTGCACAGTAAAACCCTCTTTCCATACAACCAGTGATATTTGACTCGTGAGGCAAATCAGTACAGTCCTTACCACTTCCAGCAGGCAGCAGACAGTAAAATATTCACAGTATTCCTCTAACTAGGTGAAAAGTAACTCTTACATGACCTGGATACCAAGATCTCCATATGTGGATTAGCATGCTGGACTCCCACCAGCATCTAGAAGAACACCTGTCTCAGATACCTAGGTGTGGATATATGCTTCACATTGGCTCCGGTCACATTTGGCCCTTAGCCTATGACCAGTTGGGCAAGGACAGACCCTGGCACAATGACAAATCCCACTCCAAAGCTGGAGACATCATCTCTGCTGTTTTGTTTCCCTAACTGGAAGCATCCCATCAGAACAAGAATACTGCTTCTTTTCTTACATATAATTTTCTTCTGTCCTCTGGTGTGTTGACTTGCTTTTAAGTAAGATTTTCCATATTCAGGATTTCTTATCAGACAGGCATTTACATTTTTCAAAACATATTCATGGAGCAGCTCATCATGGAGCAGTGGGACTGTAACACTACCAGTCAGAACACAGTTTATCTGTACTTTGCTATCCCATTGATTAAAAAACTACACTTCACAGCAATTGTATCACAGTGGTGAATTATCTCTTCCAGACTACGCTCTAATTCTAGGTCATAAAACTGAGGGGTTAGTTTTAGGCTGGAATTTTTTTATAATTTTTTGACTGATGTGTTCTGGTCATATCCATATTTGGAGAACAACAAATAGGCTGCTGTGATTTAATAAGGTTTATGATAATTGCAGCCTTAGTGTTTATAAACACATACACATCAACCAGAGCACCCTTTGAGATGTTACTTTGTTGACGAAAGCTTTACACTCCCTCACCGCATCAAAAGACAGAAAGAATTCTTTCAAACAAATTCTGTGAACTCCACCTTGCATCGCGTATGGCAAAGACAAAAGAAAATGCCCATAAAGCTATTATTCCTCCTCTTCCATTACTGATGCTTGACTAACATTTCAAAAATTAGCATGTCTGTAATCTTCATGATGATGTATTTCCCATTTTTCCTTTTTGAATGCTGTAAAGCACATGTCTATTGGAAACAGCTTAAAAAATAGAGCTTGCTAAAATATAAGGGGATGTGGCTTACCCGAGGGAAGAAAAGTCTGCTACAAGCAAAGGAAGAAGGGGGCTTTGCAGAATGTTTCCTGCCTTTCTTCCACAGATATAAAAAGCCTCAGCTTTTGTAGGCAGATGACTGAAGGCTGTCTGTGTCCATGGCTAAGAGCTCATCTCCTAGCGCTTCACCACACAGCACCCTGGATAACCAGGCTCTGGACAAACAGGTGTCCCAGGGAAAAGAAAACAAAAAAGGTGAAACTCCGTACATCTGCCACTGCGACCAGAAATACATCACTTCCTCCAGAAATGAGGGAAGTAAAGAAGGTGTGTGAAGAAGGGATGCTCACACCAGTAGCAACGAAGCAGAAACCTTGTTCTAAGTTACGTTGCTCAGACCAGGGCAGCTGGCTGAGAAAAAGACATATCCCTATATCAGGGATATGAAACCACGCTGTTCTTATTTTTTTGTTCACCTCCTAGCAGCCTTTCCTCATAGGAAGAACAGCAGCTCACAGGACATGACTTCTCACCTTCCTGCTGCTGGGGTGGTAACTCATGGTCTAGTTACCGGCTTATTTTGCGGTAAGCTACCAGCAACATTCCTGTATAACACTGTCACGCAGAACCAAACCACAGTCCGTGGAGTTTGACCAGCCTGTCTTTACATTCAGCTCACCACTGACAGAATGGGAGTATTTTTATCTCATAGGAATGCCCTGAAAATAAATAAACTGAAGTCTGCGAGGTGCTTGGATGTTACAGAAGTGGGAGGGGTTATAAAAATATACAGGGGTTAGGATTTTTCTAAACTTCCCATCCATCCCTGCCTTGGGATTGCATTCCACACCTTGCATGCCAAGTATCTCTCTTCACCAAGATGAAAATATTCAACTGTTTGGCAAACTGCCTTTAGGCCCAGAGCAAGTTTTCCAGGAGCAGAATCTCATCTACACAAAGTATTTGCAAGGGTAATCACAGAACATAGAATCATAGGTCAGAAAAGACCTCTAAGATTGTCAAGTCCAACCATCCGCCCAACACCACCATGCCTGCTAAACCATATCCCAAAGTGCCATATCCACATGTTTTTTAAACACCTCCAGGGATGGGGATGCCACCACCTCCCTGGGCAGCCTGTTCCAATGCCTGACCACTCCTTCAGTAAAGAATTTTTTCCCAACATCCAATCTGAACCTCCCCTGATGCATGTAGAGAGCAATGAGGCCCCCCCTCAGCCTCCTCTTCTCAGGGGAGACCCTATTGCTCTCTACAACTACCTGAAAGGAGGCTGTAGTGAGGCAGGTGTAAATAGGAGGCAAACATAGTGTAGGCATAGTAAATCATGCTTGTAAAGCCACCGACAGATTCAGGGAATACAGGCCCCTGCTGCCACCAGTCGCTCGCCCCGGTGCTGCTGGGCATGGACAGGATGGTCCCCAGGTCCTCGGGGGGAAGCGAGGTGAGAAGCCATCCTGCACCCCGCAGGTGTGCCAGGCAGCACAACGGGCCACAGCCACTCCATGCCCCGAGAAAGAAACCGAGGGGAAAGATGAACATTTGCCCAAGAAGAAGAGGACAAAAATCTCTGGAACAATTATTTTAAGGATACAACGAAGCATTTATAACGAGAAATAATCGTGACTGTCACAGGTCTCGCCAGAAGTCGGCTTAATCCTGCT